ATGCACTCCTTTTAGAGTTCTCTTCTTGTGCTCACCCAACGTCCGCCACGCTTCGGTCAAACCTCTCTTCGTAATGTGCGGAGCTAGTGCCTCAGACACCTCAGGCTCATCAAGGTTGACAAGTTTTTGAAGCTAAAGTGCCCATTTGAACCAACTTTCTCTACAAGTGGGAGGTGCTGCCCAATTCAGTGGATTCACTAAACAAAGAATACGCACACATAAACACTTGTGTGCATCACATTGCCACATCATTAAACAACATTACATATCCGGAGTATGAGGACCAAGAATGAACGAAAACACCTTAAAAAAATGAAAATGTAGCAGCATTACATCAATGCGATCCTCAGTTCCTCACCGACACGTTGCGTTGCAATGTACCCGTGCATGCATGATACTAGGATGACTTGACGATAGAGACTCGAGTTTTTTGAATATATGTTTGAGGAAGTCGTCGATCAAGTAATAGGGGCCCGGTGTGATGTGCCTTGAAACCCTCAAATAATCCACGAGTACGCGTGGTGCACACTACAAAACCCCATGGACCACTACCGTTCCAAATCTGTATTTTAGTCATCGATTGAAGTGCTTGGATTAGATCTGACCGTAACCATCTCGATCGATCAACAATATGTGAGCTTGTACACTCATGACAAGAGGTGGAAGGCCCCCGAGAAGTTCAAACAAATTGCCCAGTTTCTTAAACTCCATGCTTAGTTAGATTATCAATGACTAGGAACATGATCTGCTTCTTAGTAGTACTCGAGTATTAATCAGGACAATATCTCATTAATCTGCACCATTTGAGGTGATCATCGAGGTCTAATGGACGGGACTAATCTTTGAGTAGCAGGACTTGCGATTTTTCTCTCGCTGAAAGTTGATGATTTGTGATGAGCAATTGGAGGCATAGCTCGTAGCACGTGGCATCCCCTCCTTAAATCGCTGCCACCTGGGGATGTCAAGTCTTTTCCAGCTACATGGTTCGCACGGACGAAACATTACTGAGTCAGGTCAGCACCACTCAACTAATGAAGCCACGGCCATCCATTTACCACTGATTCGATTTGCACGGACCAAACATTCAAAAAATATTAGCACGGACGAAGAAACATCACGGCGCACACGCGATCGTTTGACTCCGCGGCCACGCCGGGCCCACCACCGGCCCAGCCCAGCCCAGCCCAGAACGGCCCGGCCCGGCCGACACGCTCTCTTTCTCTCTCTGCCTCGAGCTTCTCGTTCCGCGTTAACCCTCCATGTGACCCCCCTGCCACCTTTGCCCCTTCCATCACTCCACCCTCACTCCCTCCACCACCCCACTCCCCCCCTCCCCAGCTAAACCTCCTCCCCCTTCCTCCACCCAACCCCGCGC